AAAAAAAATTGGTTGAAGTTTTATCATGTGTAAGTTATACTTTTATTTGAGTTTTAGTTTTTGTGTATAAACATAAAAGTATTCACAAAGATTCGAAAAACCCTTTGTTGTCGTTCATTTTTTTAGTTTGTGAAATATAAACTATGTTTTGATATGCATCCCTTGCATTTAAATATTCATTTTTTTAATTTTTCACGTTTTTTTTTATTTAAATTCACTTTTAATTTTCAAAAATAAAGGGACATTGTTAAATTTTAAGGTGTAAAGTAGGTATGTATATTCATCCCGATTTGTACCGAAACCGAATCCGAACCATCCCGAACCATACCGAACCGATATGTCGGGATCGGGATCGGTACGGTGTAAAATCTCATACCGAACCGAAATATTTGGTACGCTATCGGTACGGGCTAAATACCGTACCATACCGTACCATGCTCACCCCTACTGTATACGAACATTTGACAACACTTTTTAGTAATATATATTGTCATGATTGACAATGTATATGCATTTTAACTCATATTTTGGAAATAAAAACATGAAATTTCTATTTTAGTATATTTTCTATATTTACTACTACTTTAATCTTTTTCCCGTTTTAAAATGATTTTTCATGATCATTAATTTAAAACGTTCATACTAAAAATAGTTTAAAACGTCGATTGTTAAAATATATTTCGTACATTTATACATTAAAAAAATCAATCTAATTATCAAACGATCAGATCGAAAAGCGAGTCTATAAAAATATTAAATTTGACAAAATTAATAGCATGTATTGATGCACATCTCCCATACTCCGGAGTCATGTGGTTGTTTGTCTTAGGAATTGAACCTCCTTTTCCCATTTCATCTTTCATTCTTGAATCACTTAAGAACCAAGCATTGAAATGGCAGAGAAAACCAAATTTGGTTTAGTTTAGCAAATAGGCCAACTAGTCACATTGACTTTGATGGCAAAGCCATGGGTCCACATGCATTAATTGTATGGACAATTAAACATGTTTCATAGGTAGCATGGTTTTGGCAACCATTTATTTATTAGGTTCTGTGATTTTCCAATGAACAAAAAAAATTGGCCCAACATTATCCACCCACTAATCACAAGTCTCCATTCACAGCATTCTTGACTCACAATCAATCCATGAAGAGATATAATGGGAGCCAATGCTAACTAAATATGTTGTGGCCAAACCAAGAAGCTAACTAAATGAAATATTTCAGGGGCAAGAAAGACATTTACAAGAAGTCTTGTATTGCTTCAATGACACCAAAATGTAGGTAGGCATCTTTGGCCACACAAGGGCAATTGCAGAATACTAAGAACATGAGAATCATGGGATCATATAGACTTGTACCATATGCTTGGATGCTTGATGAATGAGACTTCAAATCAAGAAAAGTTTTGTCTATGAAAATTAAGAACAAAAAAACACTCTTCTGTATGAGGTGAGGGATTGCATCCCACTCTCAATAGAGAAGCTATAACTATTATATATTACATACATATAACTTTATGCACTCTAACTTTATATATACAAGATGAGTAACCAAAGTTTCATTTTTTTAAAAAAAATCTGCATAAAAAAATCAAGAAACACGCATAGAACAAATGAGATGACCAGAGAGCATAGGTTTACACTCCTAGCATTGGCTCCTCCCTCCTTGTTCTACATCTACATTGCTTCGAGGACTTACCCGATTTTCCCTGCTCAAAAGCCTCTTCAATGATCTCAATCTTGTGGTCATGGGAGATTTCTGTTCTTGATCATCTTCAGCAGCATGCCTAGGGATGTCAATTACCAGCATGCCCTCCATCGTGTTCGCTGTCAATGAGGACGACGAGGGACAGGACGATTGAGCAGAAGAAGAAATAGGGCCTTGTTGAGGCAGTTCATCCAAACCTGTCCCTAAAGTACTGACTTGAGTATCATCTCCCCAAAACAACACGTTAGTGGGGAAATTAGGCGTCTCGCTGGAAACTAGACTCTCGTCCGATGCTGATTCTGCAGGGGCAGGATTGGGAATCGGGTTTCGGCATAACGGGCAAGTGGAATGGGATTGGAACCACATGTCGATACACTCCACATGAAAACCATGGTTGCATTTGGGCAAAAGTCTGGCCTTTTCTCCCTCTGAGACTTCACACAAGCAAACTGCGCATTCCAAGCCATCTTTGAAGTCCTTTGCGCTGAATTCAACAACAGGTATGGTTTTCAGCGCAGATGGATCAAGACCCCTGCGAAGTGCAGAGGTCGCCGTGAGCTCTTGATGACCCGGCACGAATTCAAAGCGCCGCCTCCTCCTAGTGCTGTCTGGGCGGCGGTACCAGAACCATTTGGCGTAGAGGTGGAGGAGGAAGACAAATACCAGCACGAAGAACAGACAAATGATTGCTGCCACCATTATCTTCCCTGTCAGCTCAACCATACTTGACGAATCCTCTAAATTTCCACTCACGTTGGAATCATCTCCCATTTATTCCCACCCAATCACACACACAAAAAAGTTGAAATCTTTGAGCTTTTCAAGATTCAAGATTGAAAACCCAGCTCGGGTTTTCCTTTAGATATTCAAATTCTTGAATTTGAGATCTGGGCGTCCAAGATAGACCCTTCTACTCAAGAAATGAATACCCAGAAATTAAAACCCCTAAGATCTGGAAATTTCTAAGCAAACAAGAGCTTCTGCCACAATTAAAGAAAAGAATTCGGATGAAATTTACTTTTTGGCTAGAACGTTTGGGTATTTAAGAAAAAAAGAAGGGTAGGCATACGAAAAGGTTGGAATAGAGTCACAAAAAGAACCCTCCTCCACATACGGCGGCGCCGGCGGCTTGAAGGGTTGCGACCAATCTACTCTGGTTTGACCGGACTTGAGATGATAGAAGTTTGGAGTTAGTTAAACCAAAAAAAAAGAAAAAAAACAAAGGAAAAAGAAACATTTGACCGTGTTTACCTCGGCAGACCAGAAATATGTTGCGTTTCAAATTGATTTTTTGCCTGCAAGATGTTTTGTTTGGCTTGATCGATGGAACAGTAAGGTTGAAGAAGAATAAATTAAGAAAGAAAAAAAGGAGAGAGAAGATTCTGGTCACAGAAAAGAACAGTGACGGTCAACGGGATTGACCTTTTCAATACGGCAATAGAGAGCTGCGAGGAAACAAGACTCCGCTCCGCTCTTCCCGAAGATGGTGCTGTCTTCATTCATTCAGTCCTGCTTTCATATGCTCCGGTTTTTAAGTTTGGTTCCCATTTTGCTTATTTTTTCCCATTTGGTTTGTGGAATAGATAAAGGTGGAATTGTTATTAACTACGGAGGATTTGTCCCTTTTGGGTAATTTCATTTAAATGTTAGTGTTGGTGATTACCCCGCCGCCTCCACCGCCTCCACGTCCTGATCTCACACCGTAAGGCAATACGGTGCGTATGTTGTTGATCGTATGAAAACGTGCCAATGAAAACTATGGCTATCAGCGTATAGCCGAAAATTCGATTATCGTCCGCATTCGTATCCGTTTAAAGAGAAAATATCTGCATCCGTTTTAAACGGATATTATCCGGATCCAATTAAAGATATCCGATTACTAAACGAATACGGATTTGGTAATTGTATATCCGATCCGTTTAAAATCCGATCTGAATATGCATCTATTTAAATAACCGTTTATCCGAATATCCGATCCGTTATATATAGTTTTTCCTAATTTTTTATGTTTATAATTTGTTTCGCTATTGATATTTCAAAATATATGACATTTTTATATACAAAATAAATGTGTAGACACATAAAAATATATACAGACATATAAAAATATATGTATATGTGTGCTGTGTATATCTTTTTATCATATGAAGTTATCGTAGAATATCATAAAATCATGAAAATAAAGAAAATAATTATCTCATGCCAAATTATACTGATTTAATAATAGTTTGACTTTAATCTAATTTAAAATTAAAGTATTGTTTAATTTGATTTTAAAAATTGGAAATGGATACAGATATATCCGATATCCGACAGATGCGGATACGGTTTTGATTTTCAGTATCTGTCAATATCCGTATCCGAATTCGATATCCGACAAAAATAAACGGATATGAACTTGGTAATGACACATTCGATCCGATTAATATCCCTTTACACCCCTAATGAGAATGGCGGGAAGGTGGAAATAACGCCCACCTTCTGTGGGAAGCGGAACAAAGGAAACCTTCTACAGGAAGCGGAACGAAGGAGACGGTCACATCGTTCTTCATTCATGTTCCTATTTTTTTACCGTTGTCAGTTTTTTTTTGTGTGTAATGGTCATTTTGTTAACAAAATTAAATTATTCTATTAAAACTTTTTCTCTCCAACTTCTATCACACTTTCTTCATGATCTTTTCTTAATTTTCAAACATTATTTAACTTATTTATTACATAATATTTTAATCGTTCACTTTCCCCCAAACCCCCTAGCCCAATCGGCGAAGGGGAAAGATGCATGAGGGTTTTGAACTCTTAAGGGTTAGAAAGGGTAAAATCATCAAATTTTTGAACAGAACATCGTAAGTATATTGCGTCAAACTATGACATTGGGTACCGATGTCACATAAACCGACCCCTTAACTTATTTATTAAGAGCAAGGTTCCCATGACATTGGTTCCCAATGTCATGGGATGACCCGTGGGCGCTCCGGTATTCCGTTCGTAAAATTGACGGTTCCTGCCTCAATTGAAGTCAAATTTTGACTCCAAAATCAAAATCAACTTGTGGGGTGTAATTGAAGGGGATGGGGGTGTGTTCGGGTCGGGGCGGGTGGGGGGTTAGGGGGGTAGGAACCATCAATTTTATGAACGAGACACCGGAGCGCCCCCGAGTCATCCAATGACATTGGTTCCCAATGTCATGAGAACATTGGTGATTTATTAAACAATCTTTTTCCATATTTCACTTTTCTCCATCTTCCTCCTACTATTCAATAAACTGTTGAATAAAGATCTGATCGGTATAAAAATTTAAATTTTTCATACATTTGATTTTTTTAATATTATGTTAAACTTTTCAAAGTTTTTTTAAATACTTATTACGTTCAGTGTAGGTGGCACGACCATTTGGTTACGATTACTTTACGAGAAAATTGGCGTTCATCGAGAAATAATTCAAGCACCGATTTCACACGAGTCTCCCACTTTTTTGTATTGTCGATGATTTAACACGCATGGTCTAGATTTTAAACTATAGCCAGATGTCGGGTATAGGATAAGTTTTGTACAATGAAAAAGTGCATCACGAAAATTCTGCATCTAACATATGCCACCGACGCTGACTTGCTCGGTGAGTATATGAGGATGTCAGAGAGAACATCTCGTGAGTGCTTGTGTAAGTTCTCAAATGGGTGATCAAGGTATACAGGAAACAACGTTTCTAAAATCTACTCAAAGCGACGTAGGAAAACTGTATGCCGCCCATGAAGCAATACACGAATTCACTGGAATGTTGGGCAACATTTATTGCACGCACTGTGTGTGGTGTAATTGCCCCAATGCATGACGTGATCAATTCACACGGGAAGATCACGGCCATCCCTCAATAAAACTAGAAATTGCTGCTTCACATAATCTTTGGAGTTGACATGCTTTCTTTTTATGTTGTAGGTTCAAATAACGATCTTAAATATTCTTCACCAATCACATATTTTTAACGATATCGTACATGGACCATTCATGATACATCACTTACGGGTTTGGGGGTCGAATACAATTACGGGTGTTATCTTGGGGACAACATATACCCTAACATAACGACTATCAAAAAAATAATATTGTTTGCCCTGGATGAAAAAAGAAAGAAATCTATCAAATATCAAGAATAATCTCGAAAAAGATTTACATTCTGGGGAAAAAATGTAGTGAGTTATGAAATTTATTGTTTCGCAGAAAAAATATTGTGCCATTTTAACCACTTTTGAATTCCTATTTTGGAGAAAAATTTGTACTAAATTATAAAAAATTCACAAATTAGGCAGTTCTATTTTATAAAATAATAATATAGGAAATAGAATATTATCAATAAATATTTCGGAGTATTGTTCATGAAAAAGTTGCAATACGAGAGAAAATGTAGTGAGTTATAAAATAAAAGTTTCATTTCAGAGAAAAAATTATTGTGTTATTTTCAGAATTATTGTTGTAACACCCTAATCCGTCCAGGTCTGCAGCCCCTTTCGGACTAAAGTATTGATTTGGTAATCGTGATAATTTAAAACATTTCAAACATTTTTATTTATAAATAATATTCCATACATAATTGTAGAGAAATACAGAGTGTTTAAATAAAATGCGGAAGCGACTTTAAAATAAGTCTCATAACAACATAATTATTTATTTCATTCAATAATCTACCACGACTGTCTCACCCCCTTCTGCTGCCAGGAATCAGCCAATCATTCATTCTGCCTACCTGCGTGTAGCAAATAAAACACATTACACGCTCAGCGGTGAAGCTGAGTAAGCATATCTAAAGCGTCGAACATCCACATAAATTGAATCTCGATTCATAATCAACCATTTGATATCATGCACACAATATATAATTCAAACATTCATGATATTCTCAATATTTTATTCCAAATCATATCATATTCAATATCTCAACAATGCTCTTAAATTATTCTTAATCTAAGGCCAAATCATTTCATAACAACTCTTAACTATTCCTAGTCTAAGGCAACATTTCTAACCAGACCCTTAAACTATAAATAGTTTAATGCAGAACACAAGAATCGATAATCCACCCTATGAGTCATGTGGATTACGTACCAACCGAACAGTGAACTGTCGGGTGGGTGATATCCGTTCTGGATCCCGTACGTACGTTTTAACCCCGAAATACGAATTGGTCAAGGAGGTATATCTTAGAGTTCTTCTAGATATCCTTAATAATCATCATCATTATACAAGTGGGTATATCTTAGAGTTCTTCTAGATATCCTTAACAATATACATCATTTTCATAATCATCATTATATCCATTTTTAATCATGATTTAATCAATAATCATACCAATCAGTAGGTTAATCATTCATAATTGGCCACAATAATAGTTCATCATAATGATCATTCAACATAACATTTAATAACAATTAGCGGCCTAGTCTCGAGTGTTAACACCC